TCTATATCTATCTATCTATCTATCTATCTATCTATCTATCTATCTATCTATCTATCTATCTATCTATCTATTCCTCCTATCTATCTATCTATCTATCTATCTATCTATCTATCTATCTATCTATCTATCTATCTATCTCTCCCATATCTATCTATCTATCTATCTATCTATCTATCTATCCTCCCATATCTATCTATCTATCTATCTATCTATCTATCTATCTATCTATCTATCTATCTATATCTATCTATCTATCTATCTATCTATCTATCTATCTATCTATCTATCTATCTATCTATCTATCTATCTATCTATCTATCTATTTTTGGCAAGCCCTGTACAGTTGGTGCAGAAGATGCTGCTAAATTATTCAGCCAGACCTCTCTGTTCTACAGAAAAGTTTCACTTTTTTTTTTCTTCATGGTGGATTTTTATCAAGTACAAAAAAATAAAACACCAGCACCTCTATCACGATCAGTGGCTAATTCTGTCGCTCTCTTCTCTCCTTGTGTGACCTTCCTACGTTTTTTTTTTTCGGAAGCACAGAGGTATTTTTATCTAGCTTTTTTAGAAAAGTAACAAATAAAAGGATTTTTGTACTTAACATAAAATCTATCTTGGAGTTGATTAAAGGACATGGGATTAAGTTATTCATAGACAATTGGGTTATGCTGCTGCCTACAGGAAGACCTGGACACTGGCAAATAAAAAAGCCACTGGCCAGCCAGGTATAACCCCCCTCCCATGCCCAGCATGCTTCAGGTTTGGAGAAATACAGTTTTTAGGAGTAGGTCGCAACACATAGGGGTGAGACCTCTGTCCCTTGATGAACCCCAGGAAATAGATTGCACAGTAAGTATAAAAATCCTATATTCCTGCCCTTTTCTCCATCCTCCCCTACATTCCCTTCCTTCCCTCCTCATCTCCCTTCCCCTTATGTTTGAATAACCTCCCAATGAGACCCTTGCCCATTGGAGTGTAGTGGGGGGTGGTGATTTTATACCTGCCCAGCCATCTTGTTCCCCCATTCTGAAGTTCTTTGAGACTTTAGAGTACATGTGCCAAACACAAGGTCCACAGGCTGAATCTGGCCCATCAGGCTTTTCATATGGCCCTCACAACTCTCCTGCAGCTGCGGCGCTTCCCTTGTCTCCAGCTCCACCTTGTCTCAGCAGTCGGCAGCAGAGAGGAGGACAGAATTCCTCTGCCATATCTTGTGGTTCTCCGTGTAGCCACGGAGAGACTCATCTCTGCCACCCCCCATCTCAGCAGTCGGCAGCAGAGAGGAGGACAGAACTCCACCTACAGATCCTGCATCTCTCTGTGCAGCCGCAGCACCCCCTCGTCTCCATATCCCCTGGTCTCAGCATTCAACAGATTCTGGCACCTGACTCCAGCCCTCCTCTGGTTCTCCTCCAGACCCTGCATTTCTGCTTCCCAGATCTGCCCCCAGCTTCTTCTTGGCAGCAGCACAAGGTAAAGGGGGTGTACTGTGGGGCAGTGGCATCCCAAGGCAGGTGAGGGGGGTGCATCCTGCACTGAGTGACACCGACTGCATGGGGTGACACTGGACTCTGTTCCATTATTCTCAATCTGCAGATCCGATCCGAATCGTCGCCATGCAACCTATACAGGATGACACAGGACCCACTCCACGAACAGGTAAGTTGTAAAGAAAGTCGAAGATCACCGCAGGATAGATCGGATCTGCGGCTTGAGCATAATGGATCAGAGTCCGATCCATTATTCTCAATCTGCAGATCCGATCCATTCTGCGGGGATCGTTGGAGGGGGAGTCACCAAGTGTTACCGCACCGGGTGACACCAACCCTAGGGACGCCCCTACTGTGGGGTGTACAGACTTTACATCTGATGTAAGAGGGGGTGGGGGAACTCTGGACATCTAGTCTTACAAATACAGCCAGCCCTTTGAGGGCGACCATAGTGCTGATTTGGCATGCAATTAAATTGAGTTTGACACCCCTGCTTTAGATGAAGCTCCTACCTATTGTCCCCATGGCTCACAACTCCTATACAGAGCCTCACGTATCTCCAAAGCCAATCTCCCTCAATGCAAAGGGACTCAATATCCCAGAATAGCCCTGCACGCTCCCAGCACATGTGTCCGTAACTCACGGAAAGGTCCCGATCTCCCCTTTCGATCGGGACCTTTTCCAATCATGTGACCGCCGTGATTCGCCGGTGTATCACTGGATTTTAACCTCTTCGCGCCGGCATATGTCGGTGACTCCCAGAAAGGTCCCGATCTCCCCTTTCGATCGGGACCTTTTCCAATCATGTGACCGCCGTGATTCGCCGGTATATCACTGGATTTTAACCTCTTCGCGCCGGCATATGGCGGTGACTCACGGAAAGGTCCCAATCCCCCCTTTCGATCGGGACCTTTTCCGATCATCGGACGGCAAATCACGGTGGTCACATGACCCTAAAATCCCGCCCGCCTCCCGGCACTTTAAGAGTTTCGTAAGCTGGGAGGCAGGCAGGGGTTTGAGGGTCATGTGACCGCCGTGATTCGCGGTCACATGATCGGAAAAGGTCCTGATCGAAAGGGGAGATCGGGACCTTTCCGTGAGTCACAGACATATGCCGGCACGAAGAGGTTAAAATCCAGTGATACACTGTCTCATCCTGCTCTGCACATGCTCAGTTGCTCTCCATTTTTAGGCACTGTGCCGAAATTGTAGAGGCTGATCTAATGAGTTAAAGCGGAGCTAAACCTATCGATTTAACAGTTTAAAAAAAAACAGGAATGTAACTGTCACATTTGCTTGTGTTCTCAACCAAAAGCATAAAACAACATAACTGATCATATGTGCATCACCATGGTAGTTGTAGATCAAACAGATGGCAGCTTCCTCGGCTGAAAGTGATAGCAGGGTTTAGTTCTGCTTTAACCACTTGCCCTCCACAGGATTCCCCCCCTTCCTGACCAGGCCATTTTTGGCGTTACGGTCCACTTGCGCGGTCATACAACACTGCACCCAAATAATATGTATGTCCTTATTTCCCACAAATAGAGCTTTCTTTCTGTGGTATTTGATCACCTGTGCATTTTTTATTTTTTGTGCTATAAAACAAAAAAAGACCGAAAATTTTGAAAAACAAAAATATTTTTGACTTTTTGCTATAAAACATTTCCAATAAAAAAAAAATTTTAACAATCAAATTTATTCATAAATTTAGGCCAAAATGTATTCTGCTAGATGTCTCTGCTATAAAAAAAATCCCAATACATGTAAATTAATTGGTTTATGTGAAAGTTATAGTGTCTACAAATGGCGGGATAGATACTGGAATTTTTATTTTTTTATACTAGTAATGGCGGTGATCAGCGGCTTATAGCGGGACTGTGAAGGGCATTCTGACACTGGGGGGGAACTGACTAACTGCCACTGACATCTCCAGTGACCAGTGCTAATAAAAAGCACTGATACTGTACTAATGGCACTGGACAGGAAGGGGTCAAGAGCTGGGGCGATCAAAGGGTTAATTGTGTGCTGTGTGTGTTTTACTGTGTGCTGTGTTTTACTAGGGAGACATGCTGTGCAGAGAGATACAAAGCAGCATGTCCTTACTAACAGGAGAGAGACCTGTGTTGTTCACACCCAGGTCTCTCCCCTGTCAGCGTTACCCGACAATCGCCAAGTTGCCGGTCGGGAATCTCTGGCCGGGACCCGGTGATTGACATCCCTAGCCGGCAATAGCTGTGCAAGTAGGGCGGTGCGTGCACACTCCCTACACGGAAATGCAAATCATGTATATATATACGTAATTTTATGCAGCTGTGCCGCCCTGTAGCAGTACTTTTGCTATGATGTGGATAACTGCTGCTCAGGGCTCTGGGCTTCAACAAAATGGCCGCTTCCAGCAAGAAGAAACAGGAACAACACTGGAGGCCATTTACATCACACACTTATTTTGGTAGCAGAATTATTAATATGGAATGTATGTTCCTTGCTAAATAACATTATTTGTTATCAATTATTATGAGTAAAGTTCCACTTTAACCTCTTGGTGCTGGCTGCATGCAAATGTGCATCCTCCCGGTGTCTGGGCCTTGACGTCGAGCGGCCGCACATTTGCATCCCATTAAGAAAAAACATATGTGCTGAGAGCGCGCGCCCTGCGTGCTCCCAGCACACATGTCCGGTACTCACAGAATGGTCCCAATCCCCTCATGCGATCGGGACCTTTCCCGATCATGTGACCGCCGTGACAGCTAATCACATGACCCTAAAACCTGCCCCGCCTCCCGGCTTCTGAAACCCTTAAAGGGCCGGGAGGGGTTAATTTGCAGCTTACTGCCCAACTGGCAATGCCCAATTCTCAAGGGCAAAACAGGACACAGGCCCATTACCTTATCAATTATATATATTGCCCATATGAGAAACAGGTTTCTTTTTTGAAGAAGATAGGTGACCTCCTGACGACCTTCCACTCAGGCTTACTGCTATTGATGGGGGGGGGACATGAACGTACTGCTCAACCTGCTTCTAGACTGCTTGAGTGGTTCCTCATCTATTCCCCACTGGGCATTATGCCAAATAAAACTACAGTTTTCCTTTCCTTTGCCTTGATCTTCATGATACTTGGTTATTCCTTCACCCGACTGTGAAAGACTACATATTGTTCTCACCACCACCCCAGAAATATTCCAGAATAGACTATTTATTCTTTACTCAGACTGACCTAAATCTAACCTTCTTGCAGTAAACCACGAGTAAACCTCTGTACGTGTCAGACCTCCATCCAGTCACGATGGCTCTGTACTTCCCCGATCGTGATACAAGATCGAAACTATGGCAACCATCCTTGTTGGCAGACCCGTGCATTTCAAAACTCTTTAAACCAGACTTGAAGAATATTTCGATCTGAATGTAACCCCCGATACCTCGAACATATCTCAATAGGAGGCGCATAAATGCCTCATTAGAGGTGAGTTCATAGAAGTATCTATCAAACTTAAGAGGGGGAGGGGGGGAACAGGCTATATATTGCTGCCTTATTGGCTAAGATCACTAATCTGGAGCTGGCACATCAAGCCACCATTACCCTTGAAGCATTGCTGCAGACTAGACAAGTTGTCAGAGGACCAGGGGCGGACTGACAACTCATGGGGCCCCCAGGCAATAGGGGATCATGGGGCCCCTGTGTCCTTGCCCAAACTCAAAAAAGCCTATGAAAAAGGTAAGGGGTATCTCATGGGGCCCCCTACTGACCCCGGGCCCTCAGGCAGTGCCCGAGTTTTCAAATGGTCAGTCTGCCCCTGCAGAGGACCAATACTCGCACAGCTAATATTAATGCTACAGCTAATGCTCATTCCCGTGTAGGTAATGCTCATGTACAGTGGGGATCGAAAGTTTGGGCACCCCAGCTAAAAATTTGTATTAATGTGCATAAAGAAGCCAAGGAAAGATGGAAAAATCTCCAAAAGGCATCAAATTACAGATCAGACATTCTTATAATATGTCAACAAAAGTTAGATTTTATTTCCATCATTTACACTTTCAAAATGACAGAAAACAAAAAAATGGCGTCTGCAAAAGTTTGGGCACCCTGCAGAGTTAATATCTTGTACTGCCCCCTTTGGCAAGTATCACAGCTTGTAAACGCTTTTTGTAGCCAGCCAAGAGTCTTTCAATTCTTGTTTGAGGTATCTTTGCCCATTCTTCCTTACAAAAGTCTTCCAGTTCTTAGAGATTTCTGGGCTGTCTGTCACGCACGGCTCTTTTAAGGTCTATCCATAGATTTTCAATGATGTTGAGGTCAGGAGATTGTGAAGGCCATGGCAAAACCTTCAGTTTATGCCTCTTGATGTAATCCCCCGTGGATTTCAAGGTGTGTTTAGGATCATTATCCATTTGTAGAAGCCATCCTCTCTTTAACTTCAGCTTTTTCACAGATGGCATCAAGTTACCATCCAAAATTTGCTGAAATTTTATTGAATCCATTTGTCCTTCTACTCGTGAGATGTTCCCTGTGCCACTGGCTGCAACACAATCCCAAAGCATGATTGATCCAACCCCATGCTTAACAGTTGGACAGAGGTTCTTTTCATTAAATTCTGTGCCCCTTCTTTTCCAAACGTACCTTTGCTCATTCCGGCCAAAAAGTTCAATTTTAACCTCATCGGTCCACAGAACTTGTTTCCAAAATGCATCAGGCTTGTCTATATGTTCATTTGCAAAGTTCAAACGATGATTTTTGTGGTAAGGACGTAGAAGAGGTTTTCTTCTGATGACTCTTCCATGAAGACCATATTTGTACAAGTATCTCTTTATAGTGGAATAGTGACCACAACTCCAGTGTCTGCCAGATCTTTCTGGAGGGATCTTGCAGTCAAACGTGGGTTTTGAATTGTTTTTCTCACAATCCTGCGAGCTGTTCTGTCTGATATTTTCTTGGTCTTCCAGATCTTGCTTTATCTTCCACTGTTCCTGATGACTGCCATTTCTTAATTACATTCCGAACAGAAGATACTGACATCTGAAAACGCTTTGCTATCTTCTTATAGCCTTCTCCAGCTTTGTGAGCGTCAACTATTTTCAGTTTTCAAGACAACTGCTTAGAAGAACCCATGGTGCTGATTGTTGGGGCAAGGTCAGATGAGTCTGGGCATTTAAAACCTTTGAGCTTGACATCACCTGGTCTTCCCAGAGGATGATTGAGAACAATCCATGACAGTGGCAAGTCTCAGCTTTGCACAGGGGGCAGTGCATGCTATAAATTCTGCAGGGTGCCCAAACTTTTGCAGACGCCATTTTTTGGTTTTCTGTTATTTTGAAAGTGTAAATGATGGAAATAAAATCTAACTTTTGTTGAGATATCATAAGAATGTCTAATCTGTAATTTGATGCCTTTTGGAGATTTTTCCATCTTTCCTTGGCTTCTTTATGCACATAAATACAAATTTTTAGCTGGGGTGCCCAAACTTTCGATCCCCACTGTACATGTACCAGCACAGAGCCCAGGCTAATATCCAGCATGCACTGACCGGTAGGCACTTCTGTGTGCACCTTCTGTGTATACCGACCTCGGCTTGCCTCTGACTACTCTCTGCCTGTTTCTCTGGTGCTGACCTCAGCCTGCTACTGGACCTTGCTCTGCCTGCTTCCCTAGTACTGACTTCAGCCTGCTATCTAACCACGTTTCAGCTCCACCAAGTATGACCCTGGCTCATCCTGACAACATCTTGTCCCTGGCAGTCAGCTGCTATCAAGCTACCAGACCCCGTGCTTCTTTGAGCCTTGTACCTTTGTCACCACCTTCATGGGTGCTCGGACCAGAGCTGCAAGGGAAACCCTCTCATCAGTTCGGCCTTCAACCAAGGTACGTGACACAGGCCCTGTTAGAAGAATTGGGAAAACAGGTCAGAAAGATATTTGCTTTAAGTCATAAAATGTTCTATGAACATGCTAACAAAAGTGGGAAAGTGTTGGCCAGGATCCTTTTTTCCTTCTCAATTCCCAGGGGATTAGTAGGTTGACCTGCTTGATAGACCTTTCTCACCCTCTCAAGGATACACCCCGAGTCTATTAGTTCTTAGCCTTGATGACCACACTAACCTAGTGGTTAGACATGCAGCAGTTGATAAACACCGGAGTCCAAATGAAAAGTCCTGTACACTTGAGACCATACAATAGCATGTTTTATTTGTTTTCTCTATTTTTGCATCCTTTTTTCTTCAATGACATCATATTCATTCTTTGCGGTAGAGCTCTGATGGTTTGATTGTACTGTGGTCACAAACACTCGTCTGTCCTTGTACAACCGTGCTATAATGGTATCATGGCTTTTTACTATTACTTATGTTTTGTATTGTATCTTAAATGCCAAATAAAACTTTTTATTATTGTTCATTAGGGAATTCAGTTATTCATAGACGATCCATAAGCAGTCCAACTGAAGGGTAGGTTGTAAAAATTCCAAAATGCTAATAGGCCCACATACCAAAAACAATAGAACTGGGGGCAGTCAGCAGCTTGAAGACCTGCCTGCAGGATCTAAAGGCATGACCTTTACTCACCTTCACTCCAGCAATGTGGTGTCCACGAACACCCTTGCCAGCTGCTGACATGTTCAGCCAGTCTGTTTCAGCAGATGCTGAAATTGTACAGTTAGTTTCTCGTGTGCCCAAAGGTCTGGAAAGTGCCACAGACACAGCCCTTGTGCCCAAACATCTAGAAAGCACCAAAACCAGCCTTGGGCCCAAAGGTCTGGAAAGCACAACAAGCAGAGCCACGTGCACAAAGGTCTGGAAAGCACCACAAGCAGAGCCATGTGCCTGATAGTCTGGAAAGTGCCACAAGCAGAGCTGCGTTGCCTGAAGGTCTGGAAGGTTTCACAGACAGAAGAAACCAGAAGCCAAGCCCTGTGCCCGAGGGTCCCACACCAGGCAGGTCCTACAATCTTCAGTCTAATGGGGTCTGGGTATGGCCTTTGCTACTGCCAAGGAAACACTGATCCGGATAGCTACATAGAGCCCAGGGTAATGTAGATGAAGTTTTGATTGAAGCAAAGAAAATATCCTGAGCAAAACTCAAAATAGCTGGTAAACCTTTCCCAGTACAGAAAGGACATCCATCCTGCTAAGACACTAGCATAAAACCCAAGCATGCTGGGAGTTCTGTGTTCCTTAATGAACGATACTTGAATAGGATTTTTATACCTACTGTACAGTCTGTTTCTTAGGGTTCATCAAGGGAGAGATTTCTCACCCCTCAGTGTTGTGTCCTACTCCTAAGGACTGCTTTTCTACAAACCTGAAGCATGCTGGGAGTGGTAGGGGGTTATACCTGGCTGGCCAATGGCTTAGATGTTTGTCAGTGTCCAAATCTTCCTTTAGGCAGAAGGATACCCCAATTGTCAATGAAAAACTGGATCTTGTGTCCATTAATGAACAATTAAAAAAACATGGACAAAAAACACATGGAAGCCATCCTTTATTTGGGCTCATTTTAGACTGCTAATGAAGCATTTACCTTAAAAAAGAAATACATTGGGAGCAGGGGCGTATTTGCCGCGAGGCAAACAAGGCATTTGCCCAGGGCGGCACTTTTCAGGGGGGGGGCATGGCAGAAGCGCCGCCCTCCCTTTCCCACGGAAGAGACACATTTCCATGGGAAAGGGACAGGTGCTGCTGTGTCTTACCTGTGTCCGCAACTCCGTGTCCTCCCTGGGAGCAGATGCTGTGTTTTGCTGGAGGGGGGTTATTTTACCTTTTCTTTAACATTTATAAATATAAAAAACTGATCATTTGTATTTATTAAAATGATTTAAAAATGATGTCAAATTTTTGTTCTAAAATAAACCTTTATTATTGGTTGCAGGAGTTATTAGGGAGTTTGCTTGGCTGCTTAATAAAGACAGCATTTCCAGATGGTCCCCATCTCTGCTAGGAGAGTGGGAAAGTGGGAGGGGTACTCTTCCTCCAAATCATCCAGGTCTAGTTTTAGCATGACAGCATCCCAAAAAGCCTGCAGTGAGCCCCTGATGTTGGTGAGAGCTAGCCACCCGCGATATATATATATATATATATATATATATATATATATATATATATATATAGAGGGAAGGCTTACAGGCTATGCAGCTACAGAGCACAGCAGCATTGGTAGATCACAATATAAATCTATTGGCAGGTAACACAGCTTCTCTATAATTTTTTATCAACGATGCATTTAGCCACCTCCGGGGCTTGTCACCCATCCAATAACCAAATCCTGTTTTGTTTATTTCCACTGGATCATATTTTATCTTGTTGGGGTCTAATAACAGAAGACATCTATTACCAAAATCAATAACAATTAAGTTTTGTGAAAGCAGCTTGAGGTCTGTAATAAGTATGCGATTGTCTCTGGATAAATCGTTAAATAAAGGCTCTGGCAGTATTCGGTGCAGCTCTGGAAAGGGCCTGTAAGCCACACACACAAACCAGACATTGAGGGCCTTTAAAGCATGCCCGTAGAAGAGTTCTGCATACCTTAAGGTGTACAGTATGTCTGGGAAAGATGCATTCTATACATGTACGTTTCCCAGTTTTGTCGTATTAAAAATTCTGTGCATACAAAAAATAATTGTTGATCCTGTCGGAATTCCAGTGGGCTCCTGTCTTCCTGTAGCGTTATCCTGCCGGAACTCCAGTGGGCTCCTATCCTCCTGTAGTGTGTTCCTGCCGGAACTCCAGT